CCCCCCCCCCCGCACTCACCAGCGGTGGGAAGCGGAGCACTGCAGCTGGGAGCTGGCAGAGTGGAGCGGGCTGGGGCCAGGCTGCTCCGCTTCTGCCACTGCCGGTGAGTGCAGGGGAGGGGATCCCTTCCCCCCAAGCCTCCTCCCCCCGAGCGACATGGCTGGGGCCAGAGCAAGGGAAGCAGAGCGGGCTGCTCCCGCCACTAATCCCCCTGGCCACTCTGGGCCCCCAAAAGTTTCCCCACCCACAGTTCCTGCCTCTCAGACCCTGAGGGGGGGGGAAGTCTGGGGCCCCACACAGCTCCCCCACAGGGGGAGGCTGCTTATGGCACCTAAATGGCTAGGGATGGCCCTATTTAATGTGTAGACCCACATAAATCAAAATGTTTTCTCTTAAGAATTATAGTCCAGTAAAGTAAAAGGACTTGTTGTCTAAATGATCTGAAGCTTCTGGTAATGTTAGTGTTTATTTAATAGTGACTGATTGCCTTAAACATAAGTTATAAGGATACCTTTTAGATATATCTACAAAATCTCCACTTTTAAAAACCTAGGTTTATAGCATCTGGCAGTTCAGTTCAGACCTCAGTGTTCTCTCAAAACAAAACACACAGAAATGCACAGATTATATGCAGCCATAAAGATATTATTGAACTTAGTTAATAGATTATGTATTTTTCTTTCCTGATTTAAAAAGTAGTATTTGTCGCTCATGATCTAATACCATGGAAAAAATAATCTATTATTTTGCTAGAAGAGAGCTGGCAAAGGAACACGGACTCCTTCAAAAATATTATATCATTTTATATCTCTCCCATGCTCCACACTAAAACGAAAAACTGTGTTTCTGGAATTTTCTGTGACCATTTCCTCTCTCCCTGAATAGCAAATGCAAACAAATACAAATCATCCTAATGCAGACTCTGACAGAGTCTGCACTTGCTCACAGGTTGTAAGCTGGCTGGCATCTTAATAAATAATAATAATAATAAATTCCTAGCTGTGAATATAGAATTTATGTACATTATTAAGTGTGCCCAAAAATATTCTACATTTAAGGGGACTTCATTCCATTCCAATCTATTTTCTAGGATTTATTTTCCAGGATTTATGTTGTGGCTCTGACCCTTGGCAGTCAACATTTACGTGAAAGAGCATTTTTTTTTGTACATCCAAAAAAGTTCCACTTGATAGCTCCTCCTCAGGCCATGCGCATGTTATGTTGATTCTTTCTTATATAGAAGCTAGGCAGAGTCTCGCTGGGTCAATACTTGGATGTGGAACATCTAGGGAACGGTAGGGTCTAGTCTTGGTGGAATCTTCCCTGTGAGTTGGTATTGATCCAGTGACCCCATGTAGCTTTTGGGCAGGGTGGATAAAAATTGATGATTTTTTGGGGAAAAAAAGATTTTTTTCTAATTTAAGTCAGATTTTTGTTATTTAAATTATAGTAAGTTTTTCTTTTTAAAAATAAACCTATTTAAAATGAAATCTGATTTTAATACAAACTATGGGTGGCCTAAACTCACTTTAATCTCTCAAAAATTTAAATAAAAAATAAATATGCTGAGTCCATGAGCCTCTATCGAAACTTTTACATTACAGGCTGCTTTTCTATATAAAGAAAGAATCAGGGGAAAGGAATCTAACTTTTCAGGTCAAGCTTTATAAATAATTAAGGGCCTGAGTGTGTGGGAGACCCAGGGACTGTGCGCAAGAGACTGGCGCAAGAGACTGGCAGTCAGCACAGGATTTGGGATATAGCTTCTTACTCCAGGAGACACCATCATGTATCTCATCAAGATCATTCACTAACCAGCCTAGATGGTCACATACTCCTATTTTATAGCTTCTCCCTATCTGAGCTCTGATTGGCTCATTTCTTAATGCAAAGAGTCACACCACTGAACTGGTGGAAGTCACGAGCTAAGCACCTGGAACCAGAGTTTGCTGAAGTGCTAAACCAGCTATTGACAGCAGTAGTCTCGTCTGCAGGCACAGAAGGAATATATTTTTCATTTGGACTAATTCATGGGAAATCAACTGGGAGTTGAAAAAAGCAGGAAACATATCTTTCTCTTCCAGTCTAGGAATAAAAAAGAGGATGAATGAGATGAGGTCTTTTCCACAGTGTAACTGCCTGAACAGGAATTTGGCCTGAATTGGCACCCCTGCAGAATGTACCAAGGGTTCTTTCATGACTACAATGTGGAAAAGAACTCTCTGCCTCCCATTTTCCATAACTTCCCATTCT